ATATCGAGATAGAAAATATCGAGATAGAAAATATCGAGATAGAAAATATCGAGATAGAAAATATCGAGATAGAAAATATCGAGATAGAAAATATCCCAGGAATACAGAGTTTGCACAAGTGAGCAAGTCATAAAGGAACCAAACGGTGGCTGTTCAGAGTGTATACTTGAACTCGGCGTCTCCTTCAATCGGATGCTTAATCGTCCCATCGTCCACCTTCTTGTTCATTATATAGAAGTATACGGTTGTGAAGGACAAAAGCATCAGGATGAAAATTTGGAGCCCAGTCGTTACCCACAGCCCTGGGACATATTTTGGTGCATCCGCTTGGCGGAAGACAGTGGAGGCGATGATGCCACCAATGGCACCAAATCCAATCTGCAAGGCACTGCCGACCGCACGTTTGGATTGCATGCGGATATTGTTGGATTGATAGGCCAGGACGGAAGGGACATTGCCCTGGCAGCCTGCCTGGCCAAGGAAGAGTCCAAAGTACCGCACTCCGTTGCTTTTGTGGTAAGCCGTGATCATGAGGCCTGTGATGCCGAGAAAACATTGAAAAGCGATTGCGGGTGCCCGCTTCTTGTACTTGTCGGATAGCCAAGAGACGGAGAGGGCGCTCGCAACTGCAAAGACAACTGGAGGAGCAGACAAAAGCTGGGTGATGGCCGGAGAGTGTCCCATGCTGAGAATGATCAGTGGTCCGAAGTATGCGAGCGCGTAGGCAGGCATGGCGGTCGACATGAACATCAAGGAGAAGCACCAAAGCTTCCAGTCCTTAAGATGGTAGAAGAACTTCGCCCACGTCAAAGCATCGGGAATGGCGTCACGCCGGTCATCCTCAATACGCTGCTCGACAAAATCGGCATCGGTCTGGCTAAGGAAGCCCTTCTTAGCCGCCTTATCCGGGAAGTCGACTATGATGAACCACGCCAGGATAGCGACGACTTGAGTCAGAATACCCTCGATGATCTGTATCGAATCAGAACGAGGGAAACCGTAGAATGGAGAGGATCAGAGTGTACAAAAATCCACTGCCATCCTCTGATTCCGCTCAATCCTTCCATTTGCATCAGGCCGTACGCCAAAATCGCCGAAAATCCTCCCACAAGCGCAGAGATCAAATAGAAGGCCGCAAGTCTGAAAGGTATGTGAGCAATGATTGGTGCAACATTTACCTCGTTCACTTACCTCCTTTGCACTTCATATCGGACGTACCAACACGTGATCAGGTAGACACATCCGGGGAAGAAGCCAGCTTCAAATGCACCCAACACAGCTCGACAAGCAGCAAGTGCACCATAAGATTTCACAAAGCCCTGCCCGAGCATAACGGTTCCTATTATACAGTCGGCAAATGCTCGTGGACTATTCAAAAAGAACGAATCGTTGATGCAGAAACTGTGCGTTACCTACCCCATGAGAACGCAATAAACGAGAGCCAATTCGCGCTCCCCACTTTCCTCAGAGCAATATTCGATGGCAGCTCCAGAAAGACGTATGGCGGGAAGAAGACGACCAAGGCAATCGTGTACCGACTGCCAATGTTGAGACCGAGATCCACATCCATACCGGCAACTCGAGCAGCAGAGATATTGACTCTGTCGATCAAAGCGATAGAATAGAGCGCCCCCAGAATCGGGAGCAGTCTCAAATCGACTCTACGAATCAACTTCTTTTCGGTGATTGAATCGTACTCGACTCGCCTGCGCGGAATGGGAGAAGTCGACTGGCCAAGCTCCGCCTTCGTCTCATCGTGGTGGACATCGACAACATTATTTTTCTCGACTCTCAGGGCCATAACATTCAAGGCTGACGATTGTATGCAACGTCTTGTGGTTAGGGGATCATAGGAATGCCTTTCACAATATTGGATTACATCGCGTGGGGAAACCGAAGGGTCTGCTCGTTTTAAATAGTGACACGAATTCCACAGGTCTCGACCACCTGCTAGTGGTTCCCCCGCACTCCAAGCCCTTGGCGCTCTTGGAATATACTCTCTTCCAATCATATTTCTTGCGTAGAATATGTGCGATTGGGGCCATGTCAGAATCGACCAACGATGGCGCGTAGCTGACCGAGGGACAAGTGAAAAGAAGACAAAATCATTGCATTCTCCGAGCCAGAGCAGCTCGAACCCGAGGTATACTCCCCTAGTGTCGACTTCGAGCGTGGTGTTTTGAACGCGCATGTGTCGACAAGGGAGATATCATAAACCATTAAGTGTATTGCGCGAAGTTTGTTCGCATATGGTCTAGAATCTCGTTCAATAGCTTCAAAACACACAGCGGGCCGGAGCTGAGAACCGAATATTCTAAGTGTGACGTTTCGTTGGAAACACACAAGGATTCAGATGTCCTAGGGACATCTGAAGGACCTGAAACTGAGGATCTACCACTACAGTATATAGATGGAGTGTGCTCCCTTCGAGCCAGCACCTTCTTCTTCTCTCCTTAGCTTTGAATCTTCGATAGAGCAATCTATAAAGCAGGTTCACCCATGCATCTTGTACGTGCCGTCACAGTTACTTAACTCGACCTAGCTCGATCGTTGTACAGCTCCCCTCATCTCCCCGCATTGAGCGACCTATAGACGCGGAGGTCGAAATGCATGGAGAGATCGAGAGAATAAGTAGTCATCACTAGCGTAGGCGGTTGAACTATCATCCATAGACCTATTCTCGTTAATGTACCAAGTTAGTCCGCTAAGGATACTACTCGGATTACACTCGAATTCTAGACTAATATAGATTTATCGAATCCTTTACCTAAGATCGAAGCGGAGTAGAATTAATAGGATTAGAAGGAAAATTATTAGGCTCTTAGAGCGAGCTTTCGTATAATTAGCTATATATTATAATCCGAGCTACAAGTAGTTCTAACTAAGGTAGGGTTCCTTAATAGAGTAGGCATAAGAGTATTAACTAGGATAATAAAGGGAATATTAATCGTCGGACTATATTCTAAATATAGGTATAGGATTACTAACGAAGTTAACTACGAACTATACTATCTAAGTAAAAGAGCGTATATATATAATACTAAAGTCTCGTCCTTACGTCTATACCTTCTTATTCTAGTAGCCTATAGACCTATAGGCTATAATATTTCCTAATTCGAGTTCCTAGTTATATATACTAGCCTCGCCTAGCCTTATCGGTATATCTTTTCGTAGATATTCCTAGGTAGCCCTAGAGTATCTATATAAGACGACCTATTCTTTAATCCTCGTAATACTATTTCCTCCTCTAGTAGTCTATCGCCTCGATATACTTAAGGTAAGTACTTCTCTTCGTTTTCGTTCTTCCTCCCTCCTTCTTATAGCTTATTATAAATAGGTTTCGCGTCGCTAAATTCTATTGTATTGGGGCTCGAGGCGCTTAGTTATGAAAGAAGAGAGAAGGAGCCTTAGTATAGAAGAATAAGTAAGTAAGGAGAAAAGTAGATAATCGAAGCGTAAGAAAGGACGAGAGGAACCTTATATACGAGAGCGTACGTTAAGTATTAGATAGTAGTTATAAGAGTATAGTATTACGGACTAGGTTATAGATAAGGTCGCCGGGATAGGCGCCCCGCGTTCTAAGGGATAGTTTAAGGAAGGTTAGCCGATGGAGAACGAGGCTATATTACGTAACTAGGGGGAGTATTAATACATTAATACATTAGAATAATATAGTAATACACTAAAGTAGTACTTTAAGCATTATATATATACGCTCCTTTACCTAGAAGGTATAGTTTATAGTTAACTTCGTTAGTAATCCTATATCTATATTTAGGATATAGTCCGACGATTATATATTTCCTTTATTATCTTAGTCGATACTTTAATACCTACTCTATTAAGGAATCCTACCTTAGTTAGAACTACTTATAGCTCGGATTATAATACTTTAATTACCTCTTAATTAGTATTAGATATCTAACGTAGGATTATCTCGAATTAGATTCCTACTACCTAGCGTACGCCTACTTATAGTCTTAAATAATTCTTTAAAGACTAATATCGTTTAAGATAGTAGTTCTAACGAAGACTTAGACGTAGATATAGTTAACGTACTAGGACTTATATATTACGAACTAGGTTACTTAAAAGGTCGCTAAGGGAATTAAGGCACCTACCTAGGGGGGAAGTTAGCCGATAGAGAACGAGGCTAAGTTACGTAACTAGGGAAGGCTAGATCTCCTGGATCCCCTAGATCCTATAGGATCTTAAGAGATCTAGGGGAGCTACGAGATCTAGGAGAGCTACTAGTACTATATATATACGCCCGCTACCTATATTAAGATAGAATATAGTTAACTTCGTTAGTAATCCTATACCTATATTTTAAGATATAGTCCGACGAATAGATATTTCCTTTATTATCTTAGTTAATACTCTAGTACCCGCTCTATTAAGGAACTCTACCTTAGTTAGAACTACTTATAGCTCGGATTATAATACTTTAACTACCTCTTAATTAATATTAGATATCTAACGTAGGATTATCTCGAATTAGATCCCTACTACCTAGCGTACGTCTACTTATAGCCTTAAATAATTCTTTAAAGATTAATATCGTTTAAGATAGTAGTTCCGACGAAGACTTAGACGTAGATATAGTTAACGTACTAGGATTTATTAATATATCTCGAGATAGTATTAAGGTAGAACTATTCTATAGAAATAGGGAGAAGCTAGGATACTTCCTTATATAACTTAAGACTACCTTTAAGCTTAACCTAACTAAGTATACTAAGGTAGAGGATAAGGTTATATTTATAGTAATATATCTTAAAGGGGTAGCGTTCTATTAGTTTAAACTAGTATAGGACGATTACCTCGAGTCCTATAAACCCGATAACGAGACTAAGGTATACTTCCGAAACTTTACGTAGTTCGAAGGAATAATTAAATAGATCTATAGTACGATTAATAAGGCTACGATAGCCTCTCGTACTATCTATACCCTTAAATAAACGGAATCTATAGCTAATTATTATTCGGAATTTAAGAAACTAGTAAAGGAACTAGAGTATATAGACGATAATATCTTTAAGGATACATTCTATAATAGACTAAAGAAGGAAGTTAGGAAGGAAATAATAGAGCGCCTAGAAACCTATAAAGATATAGTAGATAAGGCTATTAAACTTAATAATCGACTATACGAATTATATATAGAAGATAATTAAGGAAGAAGCTTAGGAAGATAAGGGTATCGAGGGTATCGATATTCTTCTCGAGCTAATACGAGACGCCTATAAGACTACGAAGACCCTATAGACCTAGACGCTATAGAACGTTATAATACTCGACGAATAGGCCTAGGTAGAAGCCGAAATATAGGGCGAAAGGTTATAGAAGAACGAGATCGAGAGAAGGAAAGATAAAGAAAGGAAAACCTATACTACGAATATAGTAAGCCCGAATACTATATATATAATTATCTAGAAAAGAAAAGCGCTCGAGGACTATATATAATAAATATATAGAGCGGTAGTATAGACGACTTAATAGCGAAAAAGGCCGATACTATTAAAGAAACCTAAAGACCTACCGAGGGTAAGGGTAAACTAGTATAGAAGAATTACTAGAAATCGAATAACTCTCGAGGATTAAGTAAGTTAAATACTAAGTAATTAGAAGAAGAGTTCTAGTTAAGATATTAGACTAAGAAACCTAAAAAACCTAAATATAAGACTTAGAAGAAAGAAAAGTTCGACGAACTTCTAAAGGGAGAATAGTAGAGCGAAGTAATATATAATACGAGGAGAAATATCGTAAGATACGCTTAAGAATTATAGTATTTCTACTATAAGGACGACTACTAACTCTATTTAGCTTTAAAGATCGAAAAATAATAGTTTCTATATAAAGATAGAGGAAGTATAAAACCTCGAGAATAAGAATAGAGGGTCTAGGAAACTCTAGCTATAATAATAGCCGATTTCGAAAAAGAAACGATACTTATAAATATAGATAACTATATAATAATTAGAATAAGGTTCTAGAAGATAGTTAACGAAATTATAGTATTAAATAGAAAAGTAACGTAGAAAACGTTTAGGACGGCGTTAATCTATAAGTACCGAGCCCGAGGATATTAATAATATAGATATACCTATACGTATACGAAAGATAGGGAATTCTATTAACTAAGAATTTAGTAAGAAGAAGACGAGTAGATACTAATAGACGAAATATTACGATAATATAAGAACTCTATAGAATTCTATATATATTTCTAGGATAGAAGGGAAGGAGAAATTCTATATCGATATAATCTAGGCGCTACTCCTAGAAGAGAATAAAAATATATATAGATCTAGAAGTATAACGACTAAGAATATCCTTTATAAGCCGAATATACGTACGATACGTATAGCGGAGAAGCTTACTTTATAACCTTTAAAGGATTCGGTAAAGAAGTAACCTATATAAAAGGATAGTTAGTTTAGCTAGAGTAGGAACTATTTAGCTTAAGGACGGTAACGCTACTACCGCCTTACTATAATATATCTATAATAGAAAAAGGACCCGCGGATAAGATTTTACTAAATAAGCTCGACCTAGTAATTATCCGAATCTACTACTAGATAGTAGAACTAGCGGAAAACTCCGGGATATAGTATAATTCTCTAGGATAACCGAAGAAAGAAAGAATCTATATAACGATCTATAAATATACCTAGAATAGATACGAAGATAAAGAAAATAGCTATATATACGACTATATAGGCTACGTATTTCCCTTCCTATTTAGAGAAGGAGAGAACGATAACTAATTAGAGGAATTACGATAGTAGTTAAATAAAT